AAAGAGTGCTACCCATCCTGAAGTGCAGTTAGGATACATAACACATTCCACTTGATAGCTCCAGAATGCTATCCACACACTAGGCTTCACAATACCCCTGTCCAATGGATAAACATATTGTCTTGATTTCACAGATGGGATAACCAAGACAGGGCTGGATTCATACTAGGTTTCACCAGAAGAGAAAACTAGCAAACTTCCTTCCATCTTGGAAAGTCTCCAGCTGGCGAGTGTTGCTTCAACCATAGGTGTAGTTGGCAAGGAGAGGCAATGAATCTAAGCTGCATAGCCTAGGGTTAAATGAGTTCAAATAAAACAAGACAACTCAAACCTCTGCAATAAAAACAAATTTTAAAAAGAGGCAGCTGGCTTTTTTCATCACCACGTATCACTTTCATTCAGTTCTTACACAATACACATTTTATGAGATTTTTTTCCAGTCTAGGTTTATACACCAAAGAAGTTATAACTCAAACATTTACACTCTCCAAGTGCTCCTGTGAACTGAATCGACATTTTTTTCAGGTTTGACTGTTTTTAATCAGTGGCAAAAGCTCTGATGTTTGGGGTCGACTGCCCAAAGCATACTGTATTAGGATGCAGCAGAGTTGCAAACAGACATTTATGGTCAATAAATTTTAGGAGGATAACATTCTTTTTTGCTTAGGGTACAGTTTAATTTAAGGCTGGTCCTGAGTGATGACATTTCTTGATGCACCCGAAGTCTTGTCAGAACTGCAAAGTACATCTAGGTGAGGGGGCAGCAGTTGGTTCAGTGTCTTCATCTTTCCTTTTTCCAAGAGCAATTGCTTCTCTTTCCTGTGGAGTTGTGGAGGCAAGGAAAAGCAGGAAAAGTAATAGAAATCATTCAAAAACGTTTAAAGTATTACAGGCATAAAATATTTCTTAAATCATCTACAGCAGGCACCTAAAGCCCCCAGCCCCTGTGCTGGATCTGGATCACTGGGCTCTTCACAGGCCAAATTTAGATGTGGTGGTGGCAATGGGGTAAGCAGAAGAAGCAGTGGTCACAAGGGTTAATGCAGCTGTTGCTTGCCCATGCTACAGACAACCATCCCCAAAAGGGCTCCATACCCAGGAGTTTGGAAGTGGACTCTGCCCTCGAATTCCAGGTCACCTTAGAAGCCCTGTAGACCAGACTGGCTCTGTGGGCCAAATCTGGTCTGCAGGCCCTATATCTGACACCCCTGACCTAAAGCAGTCAAAGGAAAAATCCAGCAGTGGATTCTGTATCACTTTAGAATAAACTCTTCTCAGCTAATATACAAGTTCACAAATCTTGGTAGCACTCAGTGCTCCCTCCCACTGTTTTAATTATGCTGTTCTCCTGACCAGAATTCATGATCACCATAATCCCTGCATCCAAAACTGTTCTGAAATGAGCATTGGTTCAGATTTTACCCTAAGCTATGCTGCATGCTTCTGCCTTATGGGAATAATTAACTAATGTTACACCACAAATTATCTCCCTATTTTGCCCACATCCACAACTCCTTCAGAATCAATGTTAGCTAATAGGTTTCACCTACAGCAGGCTCAAAGAAATCACCAGTTGGATTCTGCACATCAAAATATGCTAAAAATGAAACTGAACACTTAATTTTGTACCTGAGGAATTCTTGCTTTTCCTTCTGCTGCTGCTTGTCAAAATCCCTCATTTCCCTGCAGTGTCGCTGGTACATGTTTTTGAAAGTGCTTTCTAGCTGGCGGAGATGATGAAAACTCTGTTGGATTATATCTGCATAAGTTGGAGAAGACTCTGTGATTTTAAATGTAAAAGAAATACAGGGTGTCTTCTCTTTTCCATCCTCTTTGCTAAAAGGTATCACGAGGGGAGGCTGCAGGTCAGATTGCAAGGACCGGCAGCCCTCTGCATATGGGGGAGGGACCCACAGCTGGAAAAGAAGAAGCTATTTGAGATCAGGATTGGGATGCATGGACAGAGCTGTAGGTGTGTGTGTGGCAGGGAGGGCAGTGGTCAAGGCTGGAAAGCTGCATTGTTAGGACATGGATGCATGGCTGAGGCTCTGAATATGTTCTACCTCTCTCTACCTATTGCACCCAGAACCTGAACTTTCATGAGCACAAGAATTCCCTGATAGAAAAATGCTTTATTTTCAGCCCCCCCAAATTCATGCCATTCATTCGTCTATTATGAAAGGATTTTGGTTCACCCTATATTCTAGTGCTCCCTCTTACCACATCTGTTTTCTTAAACTTCCCATTTTGTTAGTGGGAATCTAACACTCTAACCCTATTCTGTGACAGGCAACCCCTTTAAGAGTTGTCACCATTGCAGTGACATCCATCCAATATATGGGCAAACTGCCAACATGTCTCTTCAACCTAGCCACACAACACAAAACATCACCTGTAGCAGTCTGGTCCCCAGCAGCCTGAAACCATTCTTAACTTAAGGTTCAGTTCTGCAATTGAACAAAGTTCTGCAGCCATGCAGATTAAGCCAGGAATCCACAGACTTAGGAGGGAGGGTGAACAAAGAAATGCCTACAAAAGACATTGCAAACAGAAGCAAGGGAATACAATTGGTTTACAAAAAGAGATTGGGGGAAAAAAACCACTAAATGTAATACTTGGCTAGGCACCAACAAGTAGCATGAGAAGCAAATGTGTTTCAGTTGCAAGTATATGATGAATGCAAATACTGAACAATTCTCTCTGTCATTGTATGACCAACAAAGACAGAGACAGGGTTGATACAGTAAGAGGAGTAAATTGGGGATGGCTCTTGGGAAACTCTTCCCAACTAAAACATCAGTTTGTGGAATAGTTTTCTATGGGAAACTGGTGGAAGCCTAACACTGTAAGACACCTGCTGACAACCAAGATGGACAAAGTATTCAAATAACAGACTGCAAAGAATAATTCTGTGTTGGTGAATAGGCAGGCTTTTCCCTTCTCTAATTTCTCTGAACTGTTCATAAGGATATGGTATAGGCTTGTAGATCTCCCTCCTGTGAATCAGGATATCCTGTCCAGCCTGTGGTTCAGCCTTGTAGCTCTGGAGGAAGTGCTGAATTAGTGGGCTGTGCCCATTGATGTTAAAAAGATGCCAAGTGAATTCAGGGCCCCGACAAGCTGGGTGTGACTGTGGGAGAGAAATACAAAAAGAGAAGAGGTTAATACCAAAAAGGAGTCCAAAAAATAAAGTAAATTATTGCCTCTAATGGTTCATAACCTGGGTGAAAGATGAGTAATTTCTAAATGCTTAACAACTGGAAACACTATGATAACTTATAATAACTAGCAGCAAGGAATTCCATCTCCTGTGGACTATTTTAATAGGTGGTTGTGAATGAAGTAATTCTTCATATTTAATAACTGATGTTATCTCAAAATAAAGTACAAACAAATATGTATTAGGTAGAAGTTTGTTTATAATACTGCACAGCTCAGATACAGCATTATGGGACATGTGTATGTCATACAAACAGGACCAGACAGATAGAAAAGATTGTTTTCTACTTCTAGAAAGCACAGAACAATCATCTTAGTCCAAAAAACCCCCCGCTAATTGAATGTACGCTATACTTCTGTTAGTGAGACTGCACAATGCATTTTGAGCTTAATTTCACTTAAAAAAACGTATTGCCCCAATTCTTGGCTGAATTCTGAATGCTTGTCCTGTTCCACTGAGACCAAACAAACCTAACACTAGAGTAGCCAACCCAAGGATGATCATTCTTGCAAAAGGGAGTTAGGGCAGGGGGAGACTACAGAACTTATGTAATAGCTCCTCCAATGCCCACCCTTCATTGCAGCCAATGCAGGGTGCATACTCCAATAATCCATCTACTCCTTAGCATCACTACTGGCAGCTAGCTTAATTTAGAACAGTCCTCAGGGACTGGCTCAGTGTACATGCAAACCAGCACCAAACAAATGGAAAGATGACGTAACAGCATACACTTTTCACTATACACACTTGCATGTGGCCCTAGGCTGTTCTGGGCACTTCTAGGCTACAATCAAAGTTTGGAGCCCAGTGCTCAGTGCATTTTGATTTAGTATACATTAAAATATTTTTTTTGATATGACAGTGCAAAAACTCACCGATTTTCTTGAGTTTTAACACAAACTAGATGCTAGATTGTTTACAGCTTATTATATGCTAAATTGAGGAGGGTGGTACCATCATATGTTGTAATTTAGCAACCTCAGTAAAACTCTGTTCCGTAGAGAAATGCAGTGTAAGTTATATTTGCAGGAGGGAGCATTTAAATCTCTCTCTCATGTTACGCAAACTGAGAAATATAAACTTGTCTATAAAATGGAGGAATTCTGGATTAGTTATTTAGGCCCAGTTATTCAAAATTTGGGAATACGCGGACACACTCATTTCAGGAAAAGAATGTCCAAACCTGTTATTCAGGAATAGCTACTACACTTTAAATTCATCCTCCATTTTAATCCATAAAGTGTAATGAGCCCTATACAGCATTGCTTTCTTGCTCTTTGTTTGTACCATCTACAAGATTTTCATCTGTTTTTTTAAATTGACCATTTTGCTGAATGAGATTAATGGCTGCCATCAAGTGTGTATTTATAGGTCAATCTCAGACCTGGTTAAAAATCTGTGGGAATAGTAGACACCTTTCCTGCAGGTAAATGGAAGGAGTAATTACCTATAAATAATCTGTATGTATATTGAGCCCAGGGGTACTTAACCCCTGGCTCATGGGCCAGATCTGGCCCATGGAGCCATGCCATCTGGTCCATGGGTCTCCCCATGGATCTGGAAATTTGGTGGTAGAGGAGTGGTAGCAATTAACACTGCCAAATTTCCAAGCCCTGCATGGCTGGGTTGGGCCAGCACTGTGTGCCAGATCAGGCCTAAAGACCAGATCCAGCCCATGGACCAATTTAGCATTGCTAATCTGACCCACAGAGCAAAAAGATTGGGCACAACTGATTTTGTCAAAACAAGAAACACCCACCAATCAAAGTAATGAGCAGCACAGGAAAGCCAATCAGAAGCTAAGACACTAAGCCAAGGGCCGATTGTAAATGCAAGGTATAGGACTCTGGTTGTAGCTGTGTGTGAGAGCAAGCAGCTAGGGAGAACAGCAGCGTAGGGGTGCACCGATAGAGATTTTGGGGGCTGATACCAATAGCCGATTTTTAAGGAGGCATATTGGCTGATACTGATCCAATTTCCAATACAGCTATGTGCAGCTGGTAAGTCCTTTGTAGTGGAAGGGGAGATGGGAGGGAAGGGACATAGGGGGGCAAATAAACACCCCCCACAGTGAGGGAAGGAAGGAGTGGGGCAGGGGTAGACACTGCCCAGTCAGGGTGAGGCAGGATGTGGGACGGAGCCATGGCTCATCTAGGGGACGCAGAGGGCACAGGGGGAGGGGGGGGTGGTATGTGCCCCCAGTTCTATGAGAGGCAGGGTGGGTGGGCTGCAGGTGTGGGATGGAGCTGGGGCTGCGCCAGGCTCTTCTCAGCAGGGGCTGAGCTTGGGGCAGGTGGCGCTGGAAGGGGGGGCTACAGCCCCCACTGTAGCCCCATTCCTAGCATTGCCACTGCCTACTCCAAACCCAGTCCCCACAGAGAAGAACCCAGTGCAGCCCCAGCTCCAGCCTGCAGCTGCTGCCCACCCACCCTGCCTTGCGTAGATCCAGGGGCACCCGCCCCCGCACCCCGTGCCCTCCCGGGGTGTGCGCAGCTGCAGGAGCCACCCCCCCTGTGCCCCCCAGATGAGCTATGGCTCCATCCCGTGCCCTGCCCTGCCCCACCCTGGCTGAGCAGTGTCTACCCCTGCTCCACTCCCTCCCTCCCTCACCATGGCGGGTGTTGATCTGCCCCCTCACGCCCCTTCCTTCCCCCATCCCTGTCCACTACAACAGTCTTCCCAGCTGCATGCAGCTCTCCAGGCTGCCAGGCTGTGCTCCTTGCTGCCTGCGTGCTGTGCTGCGGGTGCACACACACACAGGCATTTATCAGCCAAATTATCATCCGCATCAGGCCGATTTCCGATACAGCCAATTTTCTTTATATCAGTGCCGATCTGATATCGAATCAATGTATCAGTGCACCTCTAAAGCAGTGTTAAGGAGGAGGAGAGGTAAGGAACCCCAGTGTCAAAACCCCTTTTGGCTACATTTCTTGCTGGAAAGACAGTCTTGTATTTCTGAACAAGGAAACTGCCTCCCATTTGTTTCCCTGGACATTGAAAAAAGACTTTGTGAACACTTTGTTTAAACAAAATGTCAATGCAGAAACTCTTGGCTCTATAGTCACTCTCCTCTACTAATGGAAACAACCCTGCAAACCCCAAATACTGGCTGACCACTTGGTCAAAGAAGAGGGAATATTGCTCTGCCTTCTTCACAGGTAGACAATCTGGAGCTGACATACAATCCACAGTGGATATATGACTAATTAAAAATGCTGTATTGTATCACCAAATTTCTGGATCTATGGGGAGCCCCACAGGCTGGACAATGTGATCCCACAGACTAGATTCAGCCCACTGGCTGGAGATTGAGCACCACTGAAATGCAATCAGTAGAAGACTTGAAACCTCTGGATTATTCTACAATTCACTGGTCACAAACAGGATGTACTAGTAGTGTAATTAAGGGTTGGGGGAGGAAGCCAACTGGGGCAGCAGCTGTAGATGCTGCCTTTATTGCAGGAAGGGTGCAAAAGCAGCTGTCACCACAACTGGCACAGCTGCCCCAGGTGCCCTGCTACACCTCTGGGATGTGCTGTTTACAAGCTTTTTCATATTTGCATTGTGGTATGCTCATCAACAGATCAGAGACAGTGCTGACAAAAACATCTTTAGAGTTTTATCTTGAGAAAAACCTAAACAAAATAATTTATTGTGGTAGGTGCCAATCAGGCATTTGTATTGCATCTCCATGTAACTGGCAGGTCTGGAAAATTCTAAGTTACATGGTGCTCTCAATTAGCAGGAGTATTTCTTTCTAATTGGTTATGTCATAGTGCTGCAAACATCATTCTTTTATACAGTTTTCCACCCTTAGCTTTGTCCTGCTGCTTCAGCAAGTGAGCTTATGTCCAAACCACAGAAAGAATCGTGTTTAATTTGTTTTCCACACACTTGTCAGGCTGATGGCCAGAAAAGATCAGGAACAGCTTTTTGTACAATTCATATAACTCTCAGACCTCAACAGCCTCACAAAGTTTACACTGATTTTCTTTAATTTTCAGTGGATAGGTAGAGTAGCATGATTGTAAAACTTATTTACCAATTCTGCTACCTCCAGGTTTTAACTTTACAACAATGACTCACCCGAGAAGAACATTCTTTAATTTTGTAGCTTTAAACCACGTGTGATAATTCATTGATGGTTAATTTTCTCCCTTTCTTTTTAAAAGTACCTTGCATTGCCAAGTCTGCCTATTTCTTAAAACCTCCAGTCTGTATATGATGAAAACTGTTATGTTCTTGTCACTTATTAATTTCATGGTTATGCATGACATTAATTGGCTTTTTAAATTCACAGGCCAAATCAGCCTCTCAGATGCAAATGCACAATTCCTATAGATTTCGATATGCCCCAGTACTTTCTATCTGATGTTTTGTTCTGTTCCTTTATCCATGGTCTGTATCCATTATCACTTTTTCTAGGATAAGGTCTGAATGGCACCTGGCTGCTGTAGTTGCTACATAGGCTGTAGCAGATGGATGGGTCAGGCTGGCTAAGAATACATTTCTCAGACTGCCCCTTTACATAGGAAAATGAATATGCAACAGTCACAAGGGGATTCCAGGCCCAGTTCCCCAACAGAAGATATTTCAAATCAGTATGTATTGGAAATCGGCCTGATGCGGACGATAATTTGGCCGATAAATGCCCGTGTGTGCGTGCAGCCATAGCACAGCATGCAGGCTGTGAGGAGCACAGCCCGGCAGCCTGGAGAGCTGCCTGTCAGAACACTTGGGAGGAACAACAGAGTGGTCTCAAACCAAATAAAGGCAGATGTTACTTGTGAGGCATCTGCAAGTCAGATTAAGAATTTGAACTACCTGCTGGCTGCTGTCTGAGTAGAGACATCCATGTGTCTGAAGAGGAGCAGGAAGTACCACAGAAAAGGACAGGGAAGGAAGCTGCAAATGCAACTGGACAAATGTGAATGGGAGTCTGGAGAGAGAGCTACTCGTTTGTATGCCAATGTAAACAGCAAGGAAACCACCTCCTGTTGTTTAATCCCTCCTGTACTTAGGGAAGGAGGAATTTTTACATTCTTAATAAATAAACAAGACTGAATTGAAGGAATGCTTGACTCTACCATCCATTTCTTCTCCTCATTCTTCTCTACACAACCCAAGCTGGCTACTTGGGTTAACAGGGGTAATATGCAAAACAAAAGACATCCCCAAGATATAAGAGGTTGCCAGTTTAGTGAGGAAGGAAAAGTGTTTGACATAAGAAATTTCCACTGAGAAAGTGATGATGAGACCCTTTCAAGGAAAATGTGGAACAACTGATGTCAGCATTATCCTGACCCAAACAGGAAAGACAGAAAATAAATCCAGAGTGCCATAATGTGAAAGTGAGGCTCCCAAATAATATAAATGTGTTGAGAGCTTGATTAAGCTCTGCAGTAGTACTCTTCCTAGAAGAGGGTACTAAAGGAGAAAATAAAAGGCTTGCCATCCACTCTTTGGTTGCTATACAGATTATAGAGGCAGGATATGTGGAAGTGACCTGGGAAGCAAGTCTTAGTCCATGTTAACTAATGCAAGATTCCCACATCACCACTATCACATAAATAAAGCAGCTGGTGAGGACCCCCCGAGATTTCTTTCTGGAATTAAGAGGGCATTTTGGCATCAGCAACATGGATTAGGTTGTATTTCAGCAAGTTCTGCGCTGTACATGAGGTGAGGAAAACTATCACAACTTTTCCCACTCCCTCCCCACATGCTATATCACCTCTTTTTGAAGCGACGTGATCTTTGGCCGTCTTGTCTCCAGCACATGTTGGGTCTGCTTCAAACCACTTTCTTCATGATTCTTTTTAAACTGCAGATCACATGGCAGGGCCCTGCCACCTGGGACAAGACACAAACACCAGTTGTCTTTGTCTAGTATCTCCTTACCATTTGACACAATACTTCTTGATCAGCATAGTATGGAAACAGCACCACACAAAAGGAAACAGTGGCGCAAAAGAGGGTAATAGATTCTGCCACTTTATTGAAGCAGATATCTATTACTTCTGTGGAGTTTTCCCTGCTCAGCCAGACCTGTGCCCCAGTCTGGCTGGGCAGGGAAAAAGTGCGACACATTACAGAACAGCTTGTCTGCTTCATTCAGCAATGACTATTTCTAACCAGAGACAGACAACACTGTTTCAGTAAAAATAATAGGAGGCAGCGGCAACACACTAACAAACTTAATCCTTCAAGAAGCAACTGCATTCGTTCAGCCACCAAGAAACCCTCAAAAACCACAAAACAAAACAAAAACAAACACAACCTGTTACACATGAGCACTTCCAATTTATTAGGTCAACTAATGTCAATGGGATTTTTTCTCTCACTTGTAATGTATGTTCACCATAAGACACCTATTACATGAGACTCACGAGACATGGAGTCCCTAGAAATTCTAAACAAAACAGGGAAGGTTTCTCCTTACCTCCCAATTCCTTACCTTTCAAGGACATAGATCCACGTACAGCTTCCCTGGATTCAAGGTGTAGGCTTCTTTGACCAGGCTGGCACTTGTTGACAACTTGCATCAAAGGGTTGGGCTTCACAACAAAGAGAAGGCAGAAAAAATTATCAATGGAGATGTATACCACGGTGGTAGAATTAACGTTAGAATTCTCTCTGTCCTCTTAACCTCCTGAACCTTTTTGTTCACCCCCAACCAAAATATTACTGCCTCTAGTGTGAAATGCAGCAGACGTTTGTACAAGGAAAACTGGACAGCAGAGTCACAGGAAAAGAAATGAAAACCAACTCTTTAATTGGAAGTGGCAGAGAAATTTTAGGTTGTTAGGATGTAGTTGTGGAAATTGGAAAATAGGTAAGACAAAGCTAAAGCTGCTATGGATAAGGAAAAGTGACTGAGACCATTCCATAAAATGCCCTAGCCACCCCTGAAGCCATCAGCCTTCTTCTGAGGAAAGCCTGGAAGTGGCTTCCTTCAAAATTCATCAACTCCTTAAATTTCCTCAGTGCAATAGCTCAAGAGCAGGATGTTGGCATTTCTAGTTTCCTACTTGCTTATCTGGGACAAAAAGGTTCGAGAATCACGTGGTCACTATCTCCACAGACTGACGCTATTTTGTAACTCAGTGAATTTCCTTTAGACATCACTCTACCCCATAGTCACTTAGTGAATCTTGATATCCCTTTGCCATCCCACAATGAGAGGGCAAAGAATACCGCAAAGAGAAGACCCCAGGGGGTGCTGAGAGCAGTAGGTCCTGTTGAAATATACATTTCACTTTGATGACTTAAATATCATGATACACACAAAGCTTCTTCTAGCACATACGCTGGGCGGACACCAAAGAAGAATAAAGTGATCTGGAGGTTGGAAGGGATGATTTAATCAGCGATATTAAAAGCACAAGATACAGTACTCTGTATTCAGCTTGATCAAGGGGAGCGGGGGCTGCTATAACTGTCTACAAGTGTTTGACAGCATGAACTCTCATTAAAAATTAGAGATGAGCAAGATTCAGCCCCCATGTACAGATTATGAAAGAGGGAGGTAAAAGCCTTTTCAGGGTCGGTAAAGTATATTCTTTCCTATGCAAATGTTTGGCTAGTCTATCCCAGATGGTGGATTTCAAAGGCAAAAGCCTACTCTTCTGCTAACTTTGCTTAGTTAAAACAAAACAGAATTTTACTGCTTATTAGGAATGGGCAGACCTGAAAAATTATCCCCATGTCATCATGTCTCCATCTTCCACAACACCCCTCTTTCTAGTGCAGGGGTGGGCAAAATACAGCCCGAGGGCTGGATTCGGCCCACCAGGCCATTCTATCTGGCCCACAGGGCACCTAAAAAGTTTAGAAGATTAATATTTATCTGCTCCTCACTGCCTGTCAAAGATGAGAGGAGCCAGGGGCAGTAGGCCCCAGGGGAAGCCAGAAGATCTCACCAGCCTGGCCCCACCCTGCCCTCCACCCAGAAGCCTCTGCCTGCAGCTGCTCCAGCACCACGTGGCCCACAGGCGACTGGTAGGGGGTGCGTGTTCCCCCCCTGAGATTGGCCCCCAAAAGTGGGACAGTTTTTTTGTCGCACAGACTGGTGGTGTGTTTGGGGGGGGCATTAAGCCACGGCACAGAAGTATGGGAGTGGATATGGGGCTTTTGGCTCGCCTCTGGACCCACCCACAAATGTTGCCCCCCCAGACTCAGGAGGCATGAGTCACCCCTGACATGGCCCCCAGCTGCATCGCCTAATCGCAGGGCCATGCCAGTACTCCGGGGCCAGGAGTGGAAGGGAGGGGATGTGTGTGCATGTGTAGTGAGAGAGGCACACTGTGTGTGTGTCTGTGTGTCCACGTCCATCCATCCATGCAATGAGGGATGGAGAGACGGTGTGTGTGTCTGTATTTGTTTCTGTATGTGTGTTTGTGCAATGAGGGAGGGGGAGAGAGAGATAGAGCAATGAGACAAGGACAGTGAGTGAGCGTTTGTGCGTGTGTGTGTGTGTGTGTGTGTGTGTAATAAAGGAAGAAGATAGAGAGTGCGTGTGTGTAGTGAGGGAAGCAGTGTGTGTGTGTAGGGAGTGTGTGTGTGTGTGTAGCGAGGGAGGCACAGAGTGTGTGTGTTCAATGAGAGAGGGAGAGGGAGAGTGTGTGTGTGTGTTCATAGGGCGAGTCCCACAAGCACACCCCACCATATACATGCACCCACATCTCCCTTGCACTTCCATACACGCAGACCCGCATACCTGCACCCGCCACACACCCCAGCCACCCTCCCCCATACATATCCCACACAAACCCCATACCCACCCACACCCCACATATCCACACACACGTACATGCTCCTTCACCCCACACCCACCCCCACAACTATCCACCCTCCTCCACATACCCACACACCCACAGTCCCCACAAATCTATACCCACCCCCCACAGCATACAAGAGTAAGACTTCATTTTAAGCTGTTGTCCAATCACCTCTGTGTACACTACACAAACACATGTAAATCAGGACAAAAATATTTTTTTAAATCAAATCAATGAATGTTGTAAATGTTTGCTTTTTTGAATAAAATGTGGTATTTTTCTGGTTTTGAGATGGCACAACTCTTTACTGAAAGGAGTATTTCCAGGGGCAAGAGGAGGCACTTCTGGTGGCAAAGGGCAGGGGTTAGGGGTGGGACTTCCAGTCCCAAGATGGTGACCAGGGGGCAGGGCACCTGTCCAGGGGTGGGGCTGCCCATGGGGCTCTTGACAGCTTGCTAAAACTTGGTAAGCAGTCCTCAACCCAAAGTAATTGGCTGCCCCTGTTCTAGTGCAATAAGGATTAATAGCTACAAACCTACAGGCAAATTGTTCATAAATGGAATCCCCCCCCCTGCCTCCCCCATCTTTACTTGAGCAAATATGCTATTCTGATCCCATCAGTCCAACTGGAATCCTTCTTCTGCTTTATCTCTCAAGTTCACTCTTCCCCCTCATTCCATTCAAGGTTTGGCCACACTCAAGCCATCCCTACAACCTGGCTTACAATTGTCTGCCCCGACCTGCCTGAGCTTTTTCCATGCCCACTTTCTAAATGCCATATTTTGTATCCTTCTCATCTACCAACTTCCTTTACACTACCTTTCATACTTACAACTCCTTTCCTGCTCTGTGTGAGCCAAATGACTGCTCTCTTCACTGCTCCTCTGCAAAGCTCCTCAGTTTTAGTCTACCAAAGGATGCATTATCAAAACAGCTAAAATAGTCTTATTTAAGGTAAAATTTCTCAGATACCCATCACCCTGTATCTCAGTACAGATAACATCAGATAACACTGCTTTGACATCAGTCTATTATTTGATCACTGGGAGCAAGAAATGGGAACTTAACCATGTACTCATAAACAAGTAGCCATATTTTCAAAAGAGCTGATCCCCTACCGGTTGCTGCTGATCTCAGCAGAAGATACTAGCTGGCAGTAGCATAACTAAGGTGGGGAAACCAAGGCAGCAGCCCTAGATGTGACTTAAGGGTGTGGGGGAGGGGGATGAAAAAGTAACAGCTACCACCACAGCTGCACAATTACAATGACAGCTGTTAATCATTTAATAGACAAGGAGACAAGAGAACTTAGAGAAGCTCTGCAGGAACAGAAGATACAGAAGGATAGAGAGATGCAAAATGGATCCTCTCAGGTCTCAAATGTTTCAGGTTCTAGAGCATTCCCTCTTTCTTTGTTGCATGCCTTTATGAACAAGGTGCTCTTTACCTTCCATGGCTGAATGGAAGGCTGATGTGTCTTCTCTAGACTGCCAGAAGTCTTGAAAGAAGCAAAGGGGAAGGAAGTGACTGTAGGGAAAAAAAAGAAACAATGTTTTTCAGTCTTGAACCTATAACCAATCTAAGTAGAGAGAACCCCCGCACCTTCCTCAAAAAGCCTCTGTGTAACTGAGGATTCAGTGCTTCAGCCATACAAGATTTTGGTACTAGGCCCTACATTTACTACGTTTGTAGGTCCTTATGGGATGATACAGATTTTCTCCCTCCTTCCTAAATACAGCCCTCTTGCAGACCTACTTATGTATTGATCACAGGAGGAAACTGCCCTTTCAAATAGTCATAGCCACTTTTAAGCCAGGACAACTTGACTAGATTTCTTGACTTGACTAGAGTCGGTACCGATCAGTAATATGAACAGGTCTCTGATATTACTCCTTCAAAAGAAAAACAAAAAACAAAAACACCACCAGACATGGCCATTGCAGCCCTCCCATTCTGTCTGTATATAGCACAAGAGACTAAGACAGGCAAGTCTTCTGCGTGCCAGGGAACAGCATTAACCCCAACCTAGCTCAGGTCATCTAATCTCTGATTACTCAAAAGTGATTTAGCCCAGATGCCCTGGTAGTAATTAAAGGAACACTAGACTGGAAGGGATCTCTTGAGTTGTCAAGTCCAGTCTCCTGCTATTGTAGACACCACATCATATAATCTCTTCCGTATTTATCAGTTCTTCCTCTGGCAAGCAGCAACTCACAGGCATGACAGCCTGATAAAATGCTAACAGAGAGCTAAGGCTGTGGATCATGCTGTGCCTTTTCCTTAGCTACACAGCGGAACTGTTATTGGTCCTGACCCCAGCGCTCTTTCCTGCCCAGGGCAGGGAGTCGGACTCGTTTACCTACTAAGGTCCCTTCCGACCCTAGCATCTATGAATCTATGAATAAACGCAAGGCATTTTCTATAGAACAGCAGCTGCCTGGTTTGGGGCACCAAACCTTTGTTGAGCTCAACAGGGACCTGACAGAAGCCTTTTGTATCAGGACTCTTTACCACTCTGTTTCCTTTTTGTTGACAGCAAATCTTCTCTTCTGAACCTTTCTGGTTCCAACTGGGAGTAGTCCCAGCTTGTGTAGGTCCCTGGGACAGGCAATGTTCCTAAATGGGAGAAGGTGTGGGGAGGGGTAGATGAAGATGAGAGGAAATGAGAGAGAGAGAAAGGGAAGGGGAGAGAAATGGAAAAGAAATAACAACAATAATAATAATACAGCCCCAAATAAACATGTAACGTATGTGCCATCTTTCATATTCTGTGTGCGCCACAAACATGAATCCTTGCAACAGCCTAGAAGAGTATGGGAAGGACTGCATCCTCTACACCAGGTAGATGGCACTTGTCCAAGATACAATGGGAAACTAGGGTGAGGATGGACTCGCAGTTCAGGAGTTGTTTGCTTCCAACCCTCTGTTCAGAGCATGACCAGCAATTTAGTGTTTGTTTTGTCTCTTAAGAAGAGAGCATAAGAAAGGATCAAATAAATAGAAACAAGGAGAGAGAGTGAAAGTAAGAACCAGGCATGTAGTAGAATCAAGAGAAGGGTGAAAATGGAGTAAAACGAGAATGGAGGGGAGAGTAAGAACTGACTGAGGACCCAGTTTACAGGGAGTATGCATTGCTTCACGGGCTGAAAACATCCCCTGGATTTCTATCTCCTCTTATCAAAGAGGGCCTCGTGGATGAACTCCAGCAAGAACACGTTCCGGTCAAGAAATGACTTGATTCATGAAGGACTCTAAAGCAAGCAGGATGATGAAAAAAAGGTCATTTAGAAAATTCTCAGGGGCAGGCAATTGCAAACATCCCAGGACCTAGCAATTCCCTTCTTGTCTCATGGAATTACAGAGTTGAGAGGGTTAGATACATTTTTAAAGAAGTCAGGGAAAGAAGACAGAGAAACTGGTCTGCATTTGGGCAGCAGTGATAGCTCTTTTGGGCAGGAAGCAGACTGTCTTACCTGCCATCCACTCTGACAGCACATTACAGAGCTGGGACTTGAACTCATCCGTATTGAACCAGGACCCTGGGAAGCTGGAGCAGAAGCAGGTGTACAAGGCTTGGCTCAGCAAGGAAGGGAAAGCCTAAGAATTAAGCAAAGAAAATATAGAATTCCATAAGTTTGACATGTTAGATAGGAGTCCCTAGGGATAAACTGGTGTTTCTAAGGGTATATCTACCCCATCAACAAGGGTACCAGAAAGTATAGTCACAGCAGTACAGAGCTCAGCATGGGCTAGATGCCAGGTAGTTACTGAGATTCTTAAGACAGGTTTTGCAGCCTACACTATACTGAATGTAAACTGCATGATTAACTCTTCTCAGAACCCAAACAACCTAGTTCAAAACTACCCGACTGCGGTGAAAATATATCCCTGTGTGTGCCAACCTTTTCCTCAGCATGACCCCATTTATAACCCCTCACTTCCAACCTGCAGCACCCCACCCCCATGGTGTCTCTCCTCACTGTGGTGCCCCTCATTCCCAACCTGCAGCCCCCTCCCCCCTCCCAGGTGTCCCTCACTCCCAGAGCTACAGAACCAGGGCCAGGACCCACAGGCCTCTGCCCACACCCCCCCACAGCACCTGAGTCCTAGGTGCTGCCCACGGGAAGTGGCAGCTGCTGTAGCCAGATCAGAGAACCTGGCAACCCCTCATCCCCTGTGGACGTCATGGCCAGAACGGAGCCTGTGTGGGTCTCCATGCCCTGCTGCCCTTCCCCTGGGGGCCTCCGCAGTGCAGCAGGCAGGACCTGGTGCAGGAGGGTGAGGAGGCTCAGTCCCCCTATTGGGCACCCCATGCCAACTGTGCTCTCATGGCTAGGCACCCCCTGCCTGCCCAGCAGCAGTGGCGGTAGTGGCGTGGAGTTGTGCTCCCTGGTACTGCCAGGCAGGCAGGGGGCACCTTGCCATGGTTGTGTGGCTGGTGCAGGGTTCCCAGCAGTGGCACCAAGCCTCCATGTGGAGGCCTCCAGGGGAGGGCCCAGAGCCCATGGCAGGCAGCCCGCATCCACCCCCACCCCGCACACAAATCTGGGATCACATATCCCCCCAAGGTTTCCCACCGGGAGTGCACACAATGGCAGGAAGCCAGCCCCCTTGCCACCCCCTGGACAAACCTCACCATTGGGGCCTCCCCCAACTCCCACAGACTTACCTGGAGGGAGCTGCGGGGGCTGCTCTCCATGCTTCCTGGCTGCCACATGCATGTCTGCACACATGTACGTGGTGCTCTCTGCCTGATCGCCCTCCTCCCGCTCCCCCCCAGGCCCAAGCAGCCCTTGCAGGCTGGAACTCTGCCAGCCTGCAAGGGAAACCAGCCATTTCCCACTTTTTTCTTCTTTCAAGGAGAAAATTTGTGATTGTCTTGGCAACCCCAATTTTTACTGGGATGATCCCAAAAGCATCGCTACCCCAAATTTGGGAACTGCTGTCCTTAAGTGCTTAATAGGGATGTTGACATTCCTGTCCCACACAGTGAGTGTCCAAGTACCAATCCATCGAAATTAAGTAATACTAGAATATTCTCCAAACATTCACTTATCCAGAGCTGCACAGCAAGAAAAATGGGTGGACAAAGAACATTTTGCATCAGTGGGAATTTTAAAAGGAAACAAATGTTCCCCATCTCTCTCGCTTTGAAGGTCCTACCAAAAAGGAAGAGGCAGAATGATCTGATGGTTATCACCAGGGAAATTCAAAATCCATCAGATAAAAGTAAAAAATTAAGAAAAAAACAAGTTAGAATTAAGAAAAGGAGCCAGAGGTGATGACTAAATAAGTTGAGTATAGAGGGCAAAAGTAAGTTGGAGGAAGCAAGCCTCAAATGAGGCAAAGGATGGGAGCAGAGGAGAACTTAAAGTCTGGAAGACAAAGAGGGGTTTCCTTATTTTATTTTATTAAAAGTCAGTTGCAGAACAGCAGCAAGCATGAATCACATTTGTCATCATGGGGCATTCCAGACAAGAAACAAGTTCAAGTCCAACTGGACATTCTGAGCCCTGGAAGAATTAACTGGATTGGCCAGGATGGTCTAAGATTTCAGAGGCCAGTCTCAGCCTGCCTGTGAAAATTAAAATAAGTGTCCAGGGCATTAGCTGTGAAATAGAAAGCCCTAGCAGACAGCAAAATTCTCCTAATAAATTAGCTTAATTAGTGGAATGGCCATTAAAAAGGGGAGTGTTAACACCAGTGAAGTAAAGAACAATGGGCCATTAATGGGCCACTGACTCATAGTTACCTGAACAGTAATACCAGTGGTGCTTCACCCCCATCTCTGCCTGTAAGGGTGGGGGGCAGGATGGGGGCAGTGTCCCAGATTTCACATTGTCCTCAATGGCCATCCTATCTCTAAACTTTATTATACTTACTTTAATGAGGGCCTCCTGGTGGCGGAATTTGTGACAGTCAAGTAGGAGAGAGGCATAGTTCTTTGCAATGCGATCAAACAGCCGTGCCTGAATCTCTTGGTTTGGCTACAAAAAAAAAAAAGGAAAGAGAGAGAGAGAGAGAGGAGGAGGAAAATGAATGAATAACTAGATGAATATTTGCCTACATATCCAACCACAGCTGACATGACAGACTACCCACAAGGTGTCTCACTGGGCCTGTAAGCAGTGCTATTGAGCAAAAAAAGATTCCCGATACAGTTTAACTTCTTTAATTTGGCTTCTCCATGAGTTTAATGAATTGCAAGCAACAGTAAACATTGTACCACAGGCTCTCTCAGTAACAAAAGCATAAATCTGCACTGACTCTACTGACTCCAGTCAATGGAATTATTCCACATTTGTACTTGTGTGACTAAAAGCATAATAGTCTGGCACTGCACATGTGAAACAGCAATGGTACAATGCCTCCACTGAAATAACCCAGAAGGCAAAGGGACCTTGTAAGAGGGTCACTCACCCAGATTGCTTATTATGGCCAGTTAGCACCATGTCCCAGGTTTCCAGACCGTTTTAGGTTGGAAAAAATTTTCCCCACAATATGAGAAAACAACAAACCAAGCAAACAACAAACAAATCCAAAATTTGTGGTCTTTCTTCAGACCTTAGAAGGAGTGAAACAGGCTCTGTGTTTCAACTCCAAGCACCACTACCATGTCCTTGCTCTCCCCTTTTCCCCTTGCTCTCTCCCCATGGAAGCTCTTAACTCTCTTTGTAGCCCTACCCTCATTTACTGACCAATTACAACTAGCCCCCAGGTTTGCAGCCAGGCAGACTCTTGACTGCTAACTACCTGCTGCTGGGTCTCAGCCCTGTGCTGGCTGAACACTGAGCACTTCCTAACCATCCTAAAGGGGTAAAGATGGCAATCAGTCTGTTTGTGCTCATGATTCTAGGTTTGTTCATGGACTACAAAGAGCCCAAAGGGGTGCTCCAAGTTTTGGCAGCTACTCTGAAGCTATATCCACAGACAGCTCCACAATCTGGAGCTGCTCCAGAATGCCATGCTGCTCTATAGCACAGCTTCATCTCCTGCTCTGCCTTGGTACACCTCTATACTTGGACTTCCAGAGAAACTTTTGTTGGGCAGTGTCCAGTTGTCTTATGCAGCGGCTGTGATAGGAATATTCTTCCTGGGGTATTTCGGGGTTTTATGAACCAAAAACACTATTTCAATGGGAGAGAGAAACCTTCCTTTGTGTCATAGGGTACTGGCAGTAGTGGGCGTAGGTATTCATTACCCTAGAAGGGACAGACAGGATGTGCTACTTTGCATTACAGTAGTGAAGTGTCTAAATTGTTTTCAGTATTCTTCTAAGGAATCTCAATCCTTTATTCAGTGAGACAGTGTGAAATATTAGGAGGAATGCCAGCTACATTAGCCAGCCCTTGTCCTGGTCTTTTCCTCACCTGATACAATTGGAGAAAGAACCACCAGAAGCTATCCAGCAGAACAGCCTGGGAGAGTGGAGCTGTGAGGAACATCCGTAGCTTCTTTTGAGGAAAGCGAATCTGGCAAAAAAAAAATGAAACTGTAAGATCCAGCAGGTGGAAAAAAAGACTTTTGGGACAAGTCACTCTGACATTCACCCACTCCACACCTTGTTTTCTCAGCCTCCACTGGGGAATACTCCTTGAAGAACTGTAGCAAAACCCCCAGTTTTTCTTTTTTAAATTTATTTTAAAATACATTCCCTCCCCTTCCCCAACCATTTCTGACTTTTTCTCTCCTTCTATTCCCAATAGATAAGTATAAGTGAGCTAAGACACAGGATAAGCTTCAGCATTTTATTTTGGTAGCAAGTTGTATTTGTTTTGTTTTTTCTCCTTTATATTGTATAATTATTATGTTTATATTGATTTTTACTGTTCTATATTACTGTTTACTGATACTGTATGATCTAGACCTACATATGTAAGTTATCATAAATCATGACAAGTTTCCATTTTGTTTGTCAAGTCTCCATCCTGTCCTCAGGCCCAGTTGTGTAACCCATGACTCACACCTGCCCCACCTATGTAACTTGGTTCCTGAATGAATGGGGATGAATGAGGGTGCTTGAGAGACAATGGCAGGTTTAAAAATAGCTCCCTCTGAATGACCGAATCATCAACACCAATACCTGGACCAAAGACCCAGCCCTTGGAATCACCCTCAGCATTCAAGAAACAAAAGATGAGGCAACCCACCATTGTGCCAGGCTGCACATGCTCAGTAAGAACACCTGGAGCCCTCTGGAACAGGACTGACCTTGCCTGGACAGGCTCTTCCCATAGGAGATCAGAGGTAGTCTGCCCCATGAAAGGGGTAGTGAAGACTGACTCCTTGGGACGCCCTCTCCATCTGGACCAGCACCATGCCACACCACCTATCCACCCAGAGGCACTGCCAGTGACCCTCCTCTGGACAACACCTACTGGACAAAGACCCCTTTCCAGCCTGAATAGGTAGCTATCACTCCCCACCCTCTCTTCAACCAAGAACTTGGACTCTGCTTCTCTTCCGCACCTGGACTTCAACCCTTCCACTGAGTCTTTCTCCTGCTGCCATTGTGAGTGTGTGCATGTGTGTGTGTGTGCGTGAGAACCAATAAGTTCATGTGGCTGTGTAGTGTGCTGTCTGTTTAATAAAACTGTTATTTGGACCCCTAAGTTGGGTTTTGCTTTACTATGGTTTGGCCCTACTCCAATCTCTGCTCCTCGCCCCTCTAACTCCTGTCTCATTTTTCCCCTCTCCTGCTTCTGGCTCACTGCCACCTCCAACATCTGTCATGAGCTCCTCTCTGCCTCCAACCCCGCTGTTTCTTTGCCACTGTCTTATCCCCACTGCCTTTTCCTTTTCCCCTGAGCAACCACGTTTCTGCCTCAGTTTCTTTCCTGGCTGTCTCCTCCTTGCC